TTCTTCCATGGAACAACTCAGTTCCAGTTTGATCCTCGTGCCAAACGGATTGTTCGACGAATGAAGAGCACCAGCTGGTTTAATTGTTGATTGCAGTGTTTTTCCATGTGCACACTGTATGTTTTTATCTGCTGCATTTTTCAGCATTTCATGATTCTCAGGTCAGAACAGACTTCTGTTCAAATTCTACAGCAGTATAGTCTTAATAATTATTTATTTTAAGCCAAATAAATTTATATAATTTATCACAACTTCTCCTGTTACGGTCAAGTTTCCTAATAAATTATGTTTCTCATATAATTTTGTTCTTGATGTCTTTTTTGCCCTGATGCTCAAGAGACAAGCCTAGCTTCCAAACACTGAAAAATGTATTCTGGCAGGAAAGGTCAAGTTTTTTCACAAAAACAGAGTAAGGAGGACACACTTGTCTCTGTACCCCTCCACTGCTCACAAACCCTGGTGAAAATCTGATGGTTAATTAATTTGGGCTCATTATCATTAGCGTACAGATCTACTTCCACTTTCTGTTCCTCTTTCCCATACTTCTGCTCTTGGACTGCTCCCCTGGGTGTATGTCTTTACAACAGTGGGGAGAGGGTAGGGGGACAGGGAAGAGGGAATATTCTCATGTTTTTGGGTTTAGGAACTGGTTTCAAATTCAGAAATGCAGAAACATAGATTATAAAGGACCTCTGAGCTAAGAAACAAGTCACTTGCTCTCAAAGGTAGCCACATCACATAATAAACAAATAAACTTCTTTAATCAAGGCTCTTTCTACTCTTACTACTCCAGTAGTTACTAAATCCCACCCAATTCCAGTGGGTTAGAATATCAAGAAGTTTGCTTAAAAGATGAAAATTCTTGGCCAGAAATACTTCTGATGCAAAGATTCATTACAAGGACAGTTTGATTTCCAGCTTAACCACATTTTCTGCAAAAGCCCTCAGTTAAAATGGTTTTTGAAGGGTTATTCTCTTTCTCTTCAGTCTTTGTAGCTCAGCTGATAACATTAGAAGCCACATGAACAGAACAAAATATATTTTATATCTGTATAATTCAACAGGCTTCAGAGGAAAGTTTAAGGTTAGTGCAATAAGTTACTACATTTTGAGAAAATAATATGTAGTCTCATAAAAACATATCTATTTCAATTTTTTCATTACTTATCTATCTGTATGAGAAGGCTATTAAATTTTATCTTACATAAATAAAGAACAGACCTGGTAGTTCTTATTTTTATTAAATTCAGTATAGATCAGTCTCAATAATATTCAAAGATAAGAAATTGTATAATTTAAAATTCATTTGGTCATACACTTTATAAAACCTAAGGAAATATTAGAAAATAATAAAAATAAATTGCTGCAAATCAAAGGCTTTAATTAAGAAGTTAATTTATGTGAATCCTGTTCTCACAAGATGTTATAGGTACTAGTTCTGTAAATTCAAATCTCAGTAGCAATGCTATTGAATTGTATTTTCTTGCATAAGCCAGTACTACTGAATGACAGTTAAACCAAAAATTCTTTTAGAAGTATATAAATCTAAATTGATTGTGTTGATTGATTTTTTTTTAGCAGAAATGATCTACAAATATAACAAAAGATTTACAAGCAAACATAATATTTCTTACTAGAACAATTTATATCAAAAAATATAAACTAAAGGTATATGTTCCCTGCACATATGAAGTAAAATCACCTTGATCTCAAGGTGATATCAAAAAAGCTTCTCAGATTTAGACCAAAATTCTAGTCCCTCTCTAGAAGCAAATAGTGGTGAGTACTCATGGGGCAGTGAAAATGTTAAACGGGAAATGAGGAGTAAGGAGGTGGTTATGTTTTAGAGGAAGGAGAGATAAAGGGTGATTTATGGACCGTGGAAGATTAAGAAGTTAAAAATAGGATAAAGTTTCTAATGCAATATTTTTAGTCCATTCATTTAGCCCTTTCACATCCTGTCCAATTTTTAGTTGCCAGACGCAGTTTTGAAATTCACTTTGTGAATTTCCCATGAGCAGGAAGACAAGAGCTCAAAATGAAGCGATTCCTTTGTGAGAAATCTGCCCTGTACTTATGTGAGAGAACATTTCCTCTGCCTGTGGGAGCACAGCTATTGCTCCATCCCAGCCACACCATGGAGAGGAGGGCGCATCTGGTGCCGGCCACTCGTCTTCCTTCAGGCACAAAGCAGGCTTTCAGTAATCAGGAACTGGGATGTTTTGTCCATAAAATCACTTGTCATTTTCTTTTTCCCTTTTAATAAGTTTACCTCTATTTGCTAATTAATGCACTATGTTAACTACTCAAACCCCTCCCTGGGGTCTTGCTACAGGTGTGGTGTGTAATTGTAGTGCATATCATTAATAAGACAGATTGTCCCAGGCAGGAATTCAATTCCCTAGATGTGTTTAGTGCATTTGTGGTTCTGTAAGATCTCCTAGTAATCCCTGCAGGTATGAAACAGGACTCCTGGGAGCCCATCACCCCCCAGAGGCCCACTGAGCTAGGGCCTTTCTAGGGATGTCTCTAGGGACCTGTGTTGGCATGGCTGAGTTTGGGCCTCACACAGTGCAGTCTGCTAAAGGTCCATCAAGAGTCAAAGACATTACCTGGACCATTTTCCTTCCCTGTGTTTTTCACTCAAGCTGAGTAACAATTCAATTTTATTGGCTCTGTGGAAGGATTGAGCCTGAAGAGTAGTGGCACAACCCTTGTGCCTTTTTTAGAGATCAGTCTTATGTTTTTAAATGGATATATTCATTTGTCTCAAAGGTTTCAAAGCTAGAAGGAATGACCATGGTGCTACACTCTGATTATAATCATGCATATGTCACAAAAGACAAATTCTGTTCAGGTTTTGGCTGATATGAATTTAATTTTATATAAAAATCAAGAACTATGGGCAGATTTGATATGAACTCAGAGAATTGGTTTTCTTGCTTCCCACTGCAGCTGGCTATCAGATCCCCACAGCTGTCTGCTATGCAGCAGTGAAGGATAGAGACAATAAGAGCAGCTGGATTAAGATCAGCTGCATCTAACTTTATGCATTTATTAATTATGCTTTCTTCCACAGAAAACAGAGAAATATGTATCTCTGGAGAGTGATTTAATCAACTATCTTAAAATAGGGTCATCTGATCTCTACAATGTCTTCATTCAATCTAAAGTAGAAATCTCTAATTTAGACTATATTTTTAGCTTCAGCTAACATTAGTGTTTGCTCAGAAGACTTTTGAGTGACAAATGATGGAGGTCTACATCACAGAAGACACTACCAGGGTTTTGCAACATGGCCATCTACACAGCACACAGAGCAGCCAGTTCCCACTGCCCAAGGGAGAGAGACCGGAAAAGGTTCACAAGTGATGTTTCACAAACATGTCTATAGCTGGCCTTGAGGTCTGGGAAAAGAAGAAGCTGTATAAGCAGCTTCTGGTTACGGTTTCCTAATGCTTATCTTAGACATTTATTAGAGTTGGTGGATGTTGAACTACCTCATGACTTCTTTTCTGCTCTTAGAAGACAGCAGCCACCCAGAAAGTTCACTACCTATCCTCATCACATCAGTAGTGCTGATGATGTTACACAGAGCATCCCAGGAGTCAGAAATTGTGCTGCAATATGGTTATGATCTTAACACTACACCAGCAGGGACTGGTACTTTCCTAACATTCCTAATTGTTCACAACATGGGTGTCTGTTAGGTAGCTGTCTAAACATGCATTATATCAACAAAAACCTAATCAATATGGTCAAATACATGCAGAACTGAATGGGTTCCATACAGTGTAATGATAATAATCAAGAGAAGGGTTTGATTTATTTTTTTTCTAAGTAGACAAAAAAATTTAACAAGGAGGCTATTGGGATGAAAAAAGTCATTATTAATGCCTTCAGCTGGAGAAAAGCTGGCTGGAAGGGACAGCAAAAAAGCCAAAAAACAAAAGCATGGATTTCCTGAGAAAGCCATGGTCAAACATGAAGTCATTTCATTCAACAATTTTGTAAAAGTTGAGTACGTGCTGTGAGAGCTCCTCTGAGGTACTGAACACCTTCATCTCCCTTTGCTGCCAATGGAAGAGGAAGGTGCTTGGCTGGAACAGGGTGAAATCCCATAATTTGTCACAGCCTGTGACTCTTGAAACTTCCCTTTTTCTGTATTACTTAAGTCAGGAAATAATCATATCCCCTGTGGCTAATGTGGTTAAACTGAAAAGACCCTTTGGTGATGAAATGGCAGATAGATGGATAGATGGATAGATGGATAGATGGATAGATGGATAGATAGATGGATGGATAGATAGATAGATGGATAGATGGATGGATAGATGGATGGATGGATGGATGGATGGATGGATAGGTAGATAGATAGATAGATAGATAGATAGATAGATAGATAGATAGATAGATAGATAGATAGATAGATAGAGATACAAGATAATTCACATTCCTTAGGTTCAAATTATTAGGTAAAAATGATCTCATTTATCTATATCATGGATTCCACCAAAATAATTTAAAAGAAACACACTGTTTCAAAAAGTTGCCAGAAAGAAGTGGGTATGGAATTGGCATTTTCAACCATTTTCCAAAACATCGAGTCTCACTTTATGAATCAATTTGAAAAGAAAATATCCTGCTTACAGTTATTTCTCCCAAAGTTTGCTTTGTTTTTTATGGGATTCATAATTCAATACCTCATGTACAATTCCCATTTTCTAGGCTGAGAATGTAGAGTACCCCTACATTTGGTGTTCCATTTCACACAGGTGTGTTGGGACAGCTTACAAGGTTTTGCATTTTTCCATCACTTAATCTGGCATGAAATCAGGGTAAAATAACTAAAATTGAGTGCCACTTTTGAAGGGGTAGCCAAGAGGCTTTGGTACATTCAAATCCCGTCTGACTTCAGATGACTGTGAAATGGGATGGGTTCAATTAAGTTTTATTGTGTCAGTCTGCACAGTGTTATAGCTTGTGTGGAGGGAATCAGAGCATGATGAGCTCTGAGTCAGTCCACAGCTGGCTCTCCAGAGCACCCCATAACCATACAAACTGGGACAGGAGAAAGGAGGCAGAAAGCAGACGGCTCTCCTACCAGGACCAGCATGAGAGTAAGAATGAAGGCGCTTCCACTTTGGCTTGTAACATGCACAGCTGTTTCTAGCGCTCTTTCCATCCACCCAGAGACAGACAATGAAGATGATGCAAAGCTCGTACAGGTAACTCCATTGTTCATATCTGGGATCTGTTGAGACCTCTATTTTTAGACCTGTTCTGTGTGTTCCAGTTGCACAGCAGCTTGCTGCCTGTCTGAGACAATGCTATTGCCTACAACTCTGTTGTCCAAACTTTACCAAAGTAGGATAAATCTGCACAAACTGGAAATGTCAAGTAAGTAAGAGTCAGGACGATGTTGTCTGTTTCTGTTTAGCTATGATCCTCGGGAAAACATCTGTTGTGCTCCAAAATCACAGGCAGAAGGTTTTGCCAGCAACCTACACAAACAATATCAGTCCTAAGATATTTATTTGTTCAAGAAACAGATCAAAATTTGAAACATTTCACTTTTTTTTTTCCACTAGAACTATTTGAATAATTTCTATGCTGTTGAGCCAGATCCAAATCAACTTGGATGGAAAACAAACGCTGAATCCACAGATGAAAAACTTCAGAAAATGCAACAATTTTTTGGTTTGAAAGTGACTGGAAAACTGGATAATGAGACGTTGGAAATGATGAAGAAACCCAGGTGTGGAGTTCCTGATGTGGGTTTCTATGGCTTTACTCTGCCTGGATGGAAAAAAAACAAACTGACATACAGGTAGTATTTAAGTAATTACTTTTTGAATTTAAATTTTAGGTTTGTGGGTATACAAATTTGTTATATTTAAATAAGACTTCTATAGCAATGGTTTCCTTTTGGGAATACATAAATGTTTTTCTCTCCACAGCTGTTAGCTATGCATGCTCCTGAGAGGAATTTCTGAAAATCAAGCTGGGTATTTTACATTTACTGGTTCAACCATAGTATCTTTCCTGTCATGTATCACTCCTGAACAACATTCTGTTAGCCAAACAGAAACATCAATTTCACCCTGTACAAGCCTCACTATCTTTAAAATCTGACTGTTATGAAAAAGACATATTGGACAGTTATCACATACTCAAACACACTCAGTTTTCACATAACAAACTCACTCAGCCCAAGATGAATCTTGGGAACTATTTGTTTACAGGTTAAATTGTTTCTTATATTTTCTGTTCATCTACTTAACAATATTAGGGATTTCTTTTTCTGCAAATACTAAATATTATACTTGAATTGTCATAACTGTAGAATTGTGAACTACACACCAGATATGAGCAAGGAGGATGTGGATAAAGCAATTGAGAAGGCATTTAAAGTGTGGAGCGCTGTCACCCCGCTGGTGTTCACTCGCATTCATAAGGGAATAGCAGATATAATGATTGCTTTTGGGACCAAAGGTAATATGAATACTGCATACAGTGATGAAATTATTAATAGATTTTTCAATAGTCATAACCTAAGCTTAGTGTTGTATCAACTTCATATTATTTAGTTCATGGACATTGCCCTCGTTATTTTGATGGCCCCCTTGGAGTTCTTGCTCATGCCTTTCCACCTGGCAATGGTTTAGGCGGTGATGTGCACTTTGATGAGGATGAAGACTGGACCACAGGCTCAGCTGGTAAGTTCCAAAAGGTTTCTAAATTGTTATGCAGATGAATAAATTTCATTTTGATTTTGTTTAAGTGAAGGAGGAGGTTGAGATGAAATAGTGCAATAACCATAGGAGCAGTTTGAGGATATTATAGGCTGTCCTTGAGCTGGGATATTTACAATGACATAGACATAAACTAACCTTGATCTACTCTAGTCCTTATTTAGCCCTGATAAAAATATCAACAGGACACTTCTTTTCAGGTAGGAATGCCACAGACACAGCCACTCTTACCTGGGGACTGGTGGTGGCCCAGAGTTTCACAACCCTTGATAAAAGCTTCCTCTTTTCCCCTCCTGGTGCACACCAGGCCTGGCACTACCATGGCCTGTGTTTTGCAGTAGGCATCAGAGGACATCCCCAACACCTAAAAATCAATACAGCCACCAGTGATAATGAAGAGTCTTCACTAAAATTTCCATAACAGGTTCATTAATAGGCAGCAGAGAGGGGAACCCTGAGTGCCCAACCTCAATCTGCCTGGGACATGTCTGCTCCACTCAGCCTCCAGGCACTACTGCCTCTGACAGCTCTGGCAGTCCACAGGCACATTACCCTCTGGAGATTTAGATCCTTATCCACTTATTGAGATGGAAAGCTGCACAAGAGAACCGATTTCAGGAAGTGCACAGCGCTGATGAACAGAAAGATGCTGTAAAACCACCTCACAAGGAGGAGAGTGTGGATTTATTGTGGGGAAAAAAAGAGAGGGATGAGGGCTGGACATGTCACGTGATTAAATTGTAATTTTTTCCCCATACTGGGACTGAATGGGTCAACCACAGTTTTTCTGCTGTTGCTCAGCAGCCAGACATTGCAGAACTCATAGCACTCAGAAGATTCATGAGAGGGGAAGACTAACTGGAAATATGTGTGGAAAAAATGAGGCTTTATTTTGTTTGGGTTTTTGAGAAGTGAATGTCTTGGCTTCAACCAGCCTTTCTTGGGCAATCGATGACCAGTCCTCTCCTCTGCCACAGAGTTGTGATATTCATTAAATCTGTTGACATTTCTGGACCTTGGTCTGCAGGGCAGATGATTATTCTTCCCTAATTCAGAAAGGCATGTCACTTGGAGGGATGCATGTTGAAGGAAATTCTGTTTTTATTTATTTGTTGTGTTAACATATTTCACAGGGAATAAGCATGCAGAAGCACGATATTTTAAAAAATTTATTCTGTTTGACAAATCCCTAAAGAGACCATATGCTTTAAAGTCCCAATGGTAGAAAGGTGAAGCATTCTGCTAACATTTTATTTTTCCTTGTCTATTGATGATCTCACCTTTCTTTCTCAGGTTTGTAGGAGGGAGAGTGACACATAGAGTGACATTTTGATACCTTCAGTGAGCACAGAGTGTGTCCTCCTGCCTTGCCCTGGAGAGCTGTTAGTTTGATCTGACTCACTATCTAATTTGTTCTACCTCAGCCAGGAAACCCTGCCAGGACATTCCAAAGAGCTGCACCCACACTCACCCCCAGATATCTACTCATGACAAACACACACTTTCAATAGCTAACAGAAAGCAAGAGGCTCAAAAGTCTCTCTCTTCTAGTGGGGACAATCTTGTCCTGTACAAAAATATGTTCACATAGATGCATTCTCTAGTGAACTATGAAAATTCCCTATATTGTATGAAAACTCTCACTGAGCAACAGCCCTGCTGTGGTCATAGCAGCCATTTACTGAGTAAAATTTGACCATCTCTTCTCTCTGCCCATTTCTTAAGGGTTCAACTTGTTCCTTGTTGCTGCTCACGAGTTTGGCCATGCCCTGGGTCTCTCCCATTCTAACGATCAGAGGGCTCTCATGTTTCCCAATTATGCCTACATCAGCCCCAGTGAATTTCCTCTCTCTCCAGATGATATAAGTGCCATTCAGTCCATTTACGGTGAGTAAAATCCATGGCTTTAAAACAAAAGGTAAGCAGGGGAGAAATAATCTCTTTCACAAAGTTTCACCATAAACTTAATCATAGTTGCATAATGTTAAAAAAAAAAGAGCTAAGTGTGGAAACCTTAGTATTTCTACAATTTGGTGTATTCTCTCCAAAATGTCTCACTCAGGATCCCCACCAAGCACCCCAGATAAAAGGCCAGCTACCCCTACCTCACCTAAAATCTGTGGCTCCCAGATGTCCTTTGATGCTATAACTACATTCCGACAAGAAGTCATTTTTCTAAAGGGCAGGTAAATACTGATATGACATTTGTCTGTGTGGGGTTTAAATTTTTTTTATTTATACAAAGACTGAATACTTTTGTGGTTCACATGTTTGCAGGATTTACAGTGAGACAAATGGATTTCAATTCAAGGAAATAAAAGTTTTAGCAGCTATAAGCTATATTAATATTTTCACAGGATCCTCTGAAAAAACATGTTGCATTTTTTTCCGGAAAACACTTCAAGCCCAATGAGACCTTATTCCCAAAAATATAGAAGGTTACACTGAGTAGTGACTTGACTTAATGATGCAAATATTTCCTGAGAATCACATAAAGGTTTGGTTTGGAACGTACTTTGAAGATCACCTAGCTCCGAGCAGGGTCACTTCACTAGACCAGATTGCTCAGAGCCCCATCCAACCTGGCCTTGAACATTTAATTAAGTATTTAATTAATTTTATTAATCTAGGTAGCTAACTAACTAAGTAACTAACTAAGTAAGAAATAAGTATGTTTGGCAATACAGCTGAGCCCATCTCTTCTCCAATCACCTCTGCAAGCCCAAAATCATCTGGGGAATTCATCTGATGAAGAGGTTACAGTAAGTCCAACTTGGGCTCCTCTAACCCACTTACTGTACAGTACAGGAACAACCTGAACTATTCAGCTGCTCATAACTGATCCCATTTATCAATCAGTTATCAATCAAATGCCAGAATGAAGAAAGAATTAAAAAACCAAACACTTTCCAGCACAAGGAGTTATTTCCTTTCTGACACATCAAGCCAGGTAGCTCCACTGACAAGAAGGAGCTTGTAAGTCACAATGTTGTTCACATCCTTTACACATATAGAAGTTTCTGTGGTTTGTTATGTACTACAAAACCTGTTTCATATTTAAATCAGGCACTTATGGCGGGTATATCCTGATAACTCAGAAGCTGAGAGGGAATTAATTTCTGCCTTCTGGCCAAATCTGACTCCTGGTATTGAAGCTGCATATGAGAACACAAAAGATCAGATCCTACTTTTCAAAGGTGAAGTATGATATTTTCTTTAATTTTTTTCTTAATTTAATGTGGGAAGAAGGGATGCGTGCATAAAATCCTTTTCTTTTATTTCACTTTTGAAATAAATAAAAAAACCCTCCAAATATTTCTAGTTTTTCTACAACCTACAATAAAGTGATGCATTTTATCATTTACTGTCTGAAAATGAGTGATGTAACTAAATATTTTAATTCCTTTTAACAGGCAACAAATTCTGGATTATCAGTGGATATCAGGTATTGGTTGGCTATCCAAAGAATATCAACACACTGGGCTTCCCTAAAGGTGTCAAGAAAGTTGATGCAGCTGTTTGTAATAAAAATACAGGGAAGACAGACTTTTTCATAGGTGACAAGTACTGGAGGTAAGAAGAATTGACAAATGTTTTCCAATGAATGACTCCAATATAATCTGGATAAAAAATTAAGTGTCTATGTGATAAAAGAGAAAGTAGACCTTTTAGGCAATTCTAGTAATCCTACTTTTCATAGAAGTCTTTCTTTGTCTCCTGCATGGGGAGAAGGGTATAACTTTGTCTTTGGAGAGATTGTGTCCTGAAGTAGGCATCCAAAATATAGACAAGTTTTGATATATTATGCCTGAAAGATGAAAAAAATTCCAGCACCTAGAGAACTTTTACCAATACAAAAGCGTCTCTAAAAATTAAAGACCAAAGTTAACCTACTTCAGCAGAAGGTTGGCTGTGATGGCTTGTTCAGGATTTCTCTGGTTTCTGAAAAGTCCTGGATTATTTTATCCCTTTCAGAAAAGGAAAGTGAGAGTTCCTTTCCTGCCTTTGACTGGTTAGTGCTGACTTTTTGACATATTCCCTCTAAATCCTGTTCCCAACCTGGCATGAATGAGTCCTGATATCCAAAGATCAGGCAGGTAGAAAAAAGAAGTCAGCTTTGGGAAGCTGGAAGATTCCTTCTGTGAGCAAGGACAATGGCAGCAAAGATCTTCCTCAGGCAAACAGGGCAAGCGTGGGTCACACAGATTTTACTGTGACTAATTGTGGGGTTCCTCAGTGATACACACAGTGTCAGCTGGATTTTAAGATTCTTGTGGTTTCCTGTTTTTTGATTTTGATTAATTTGGGTAGGGTATTTACAATATCTTGCATTGTTATTTTACTGTCTTGGTCACAAGACAATAGCATGCAAGAAAACCACAACACACATTTCTTACCTAGTAACTCATTCTCTCAGCCTCATGTGCCTGTGAAAAATATTTCTTGTATCCAAGGAGAAGTAAAGCAAAGGCTTTTTTTGCTTGGTTTTGTTTATTTTCCTGAGGGGGTTCCTCAAATCTGGAAGAACGTTTTAGGTTCTTTCAACCCCCTTATTTTAGCTCCATCTCATAAAAATTGTCTTGGATCAGTTAGGAAGAATTTAATTGTATTAGAAATAAGCCAGCTTTCCTGCCTCCATCTAAATCTGTCAGCTAGTAGAGGACTATGTACAATATCTTACCAAAGTCTGAGAGGAGCTGTGCTGTAACAGGAATGAACCTGTCCAGTTTCCATGCACTGTCTGTCACGCTGTTATCATGAGAGGAGGTAAATCCATCCCTGGAGTCAAAAATGTGGGTCTTCAATTTTTCTCACTTAGGATGCTTCTTTGGAGCTGTACCTGCCTTCATCAGCAAACAAGTAACAGCCTCATGGAAACACACTGGCCAGTATCCTGTGGCCATTTGTACAAATAAATGACATAACTTTCTCCTGCAACCCCAGTGAAACCAACTAAATTGCAGATGATGGACACCTTTTAAAACCTGCTTAACTCTGTGCAGAATTGGAATCTAAACTCTGGAAAATTGCATGTCTCCCTTCATATGACTTAGGTTTGATGAAAACAACCAGACCATGGAGAAGGGTTATCCTAGACTGACAGTTGCTGAATTTCCAGGAATTACTCAGAGGGTTGATGCTGTTTTTCAGCAGAAAGGTAAATGAAATGAGCTTTTAAATAAAATCAGTTTAGTTCTAAAGGTCTTAAGTTCTGAAATTATGATGAATGTCACTATTGCTGCATCCTGCAAAAGACAGAAATGAAGAGATGCTCTCCTGTGTGTACAAAGGTGATTTGTCAGAATGAAGCTATTTCTTCTATCCATAACATAATGCTTTACTTTTTCATTTCCAGGATTGTTCTACTTCTTCCATGGATCAAAACAGTGGGAATTTGATCTTATTGCTAAAAAAGTTATCAGAGAAATGAAGAGTAACAGCTGGTTTAACTGTTAGTATCATTAAACTTTCTTACATTCAGCAAAAGACAATAAATACCATTCCAGAGATCTCATAAATTGTTTGTATGTACACTGCTCTATAGAATAGGCAACAGGACTAGTTTTCATAAATGCTTTTCATGTATTTTAATAAATTAACATGTCAGCTCAAATTTTATTTTCAAAGACTAGAACAAAATTGCATTTTGCCCGTAAGTGGAAATTGTACAAAATAATTTATTACTTTATTCTCCAGATGATTTGGGGATTTTTTTAATATTATGGCAATAAACAGTTTTAGGTTGATGGCACCTGTTTTCTGCTTCATCTGTTGAAGGCATTCTGTGTTTCTGAGGTGTGAAAGGCTGCAGGTTAATATGCCAATATCCCTCCAGCAGACAGTGTTTGTACTTTGCCTCTTTTCTTTCCAAAGAGCAAGCTTTTTTTTCTCTCCATCTGCAAGATACAAGCTTTCATTAGCCACTTGCTTTTCTGCATCCCTGCAGAAGATGCATTTTCCTGCATCTTGTCCTGCTCTTCTTTGGCTGTTGCAGCCTTGTCCCTTTCACATCACAACAGCACTTTGCCACCAAAATCACCCCAAAGTCCCAATGTCTAAATAAATTCTCTCACCTGATAATCACCCTGATCAGTCTATACTGCATAACAATTAACATTTCATCAGTGTCTGCTTTTTCTGAAGCTATGAATTACAACCTTCACAGACCAGCCCTGCCCTGTTCAAGAATAGATTCAACTACCATGTCATGGAGCACAACCTTTGCTCTGATGACACAAACTGTGTGCTTTACATACATCCAACATTCATTTCATGTTGCCATGCAAACTCCCCACAAAATCAGACAAAATCTATAGAGTCACAGTCGTATCCTCTCCAGGTATTCTTTTACATTTAGTTCTGGAAACAGACCCGGAACACACTGCCAAATTGTTGGCCATACTGCTTGCATGGCTGGGGGTATCTGAGAACCTGGTCTCAGCACCGGTTTGTCCTGCTGTTCCCTGGTTCTCACAGATTTGTTTGTTTTACACACCTATCTCATGCTTTAGTAAAATGGTTTCTTTTTGCTGAGTATTTTTTATAGCAATGCAATGACCCCAGCATGAGCCTTGCCCCCTTGATTTGCTGCAAACAGCAGCAGTACTACCATGTTGCTGCTATTGCTGTGAGAACCCCACTGGCTTCGTTCCTGCCAGGAAATCAAAGTAAAGGATCAAATTTCACTAATCTACAAGTCTAATCATGGTGAACACCATCACCATTTAGATCTCTAAGAATATTTAAGCCTGAAGTGGGCTGGTATGGTAGACATTTGAGGGAGATTCATCTGATGGCTTCAGCTTTCTGTCTAGATATATGAGTTAGGAAAGATTCCTGTACTGAAAGAAGAGAAAGAAATTTTCCACCATGTTACTCATCTAATCTCGTCTCATCTCATATCTCATCTCATCTCATCTCATCTCATCTCATCTCATCTCATCATCTCATCTCATCTCATCTCATCTTATCATCTCATCTCATCTCCTCACTCAATGACTATGCTGGGGAAAATCAGTGTTTTCAGCCTCCAGAGGAAACATCTCTTTACAGGGGAAGGCTACCAACAGTTTAGAGTAGCTAACTTTCAGACAGATAAGGCTGGGTGGAATTAATAGTTTCTTTGAAGGGTATCTTTCAGTTCCTATTCAGAATAGGACATCCTACATTTTTCCTCTATGATGTTCACTTTTTTGACAAGTTATAACAAGTTATAAGCAGCTTTTTTTATCACCACAAGCCAGTGATAAAGTTGTCTGAAGGCACCTGCTTGCATTAACACTGTAGAATGACTGTGACATCCTACACAAAAAGAGCAAAACATGCTGGAGGCAGGTGGGACAGAGATGATTCCTTAGCTATGTCTGTACTTTCAGGTTCTTTAAACTCTTCTCCAGCATTCATTTAAATGGATGGCTGTGTAGTAGAAAGCACAGTTTAACAGCACAGTCACAGAAGCTGCCAAGTTACACCCCATTTATACTCAGGGGCAAGATTACTCTCACACACAGTCTGCTCAGTGTGTAACATGATTTTAACTTTAACTTCAAGAAATGTTTAATCATTGTGTCATAGAGGGGATTATTCAGTTCTTTGCAACACATAGGTAAATTCCACTGTTTTCATATATATTAACAAATACCACAGTTACCCTGTGCTCCTCCTTCTTTTCTCAGGTGAAACATTGTTTCATAATTTATATTAATTCCCGGTTTAAAGGCAGGTTAATCTTTAACAGTGAAATGTAGTTAATGAGGTTTTCTGACTGGCAGCTCTGGCATTCTCTTAAACCAGCGTGGGGTTCATGTTCACAGGTCACCTGTGAAAATAAAGAAAGCAATCAGTATTACTTTTCCTTTATTAGCAAAGAAGGCCTAAAAGGTCATTCCCAACACAGAAAAATTTGACTTCTAATTAGTGGTAACAGCTTGGTCACTCAGTTTTCCTTCTCTGATTGTCATTTCTTTGGAGGAGTAGGAACCAGAATAGGAGTGTCAAAACAGAACAGTGCTTACTGTTGGTCCTGTCCTTACATCTCTGCCAGGACTCTGGACAACATGGGATTATGTCCTGCACCTCACCATATCCTCCCACAGCTCTAAAGAGTTCCCAATACCTCTCCCCCTCTCCTGTGCCTCCTATAGCTGCTCACAATGCATGTCCCCACACTATATTTAGGTATCTAGCTGGGTAATGCTGGGTGACCAGCCACTGGTCCCACAGCCCGGCCCAGGGATGAATTATCTTCCCATCAGCTGGGGTTTTTCTCCTCTAGCCAGCTGCTATTTTCCACAAAACCAGTAGGAACTGTGGAATTTCAGTTTGGCTTGGAAAAACCAGCCAGTACTTCCAGTTGCTGTGGGACCAGATGGACGCACAGACACACAGAAAACAGGATCCCATGTGGTCAAGCTGAAACAATTTTCTCAGTGCTTTTTGCTAAACATCCTTTTTGTTTTCCATTCGGTTTTATAATTTTGTACTCCCCCTACTGTTGACAAGAGGAGCTTGAGAGGGCAGACAAGGAAAGGAGGAAATGATACATAAAACCAAGGAGACAGCTAATCCATACTTGTCTTTCCAGCTGTTTCATGTCACTAAGAAAAATGGTCATTTGCTTCTCATCCAATTAATGTTTTTCAACAGCTGTTTTGCAAATGAATGATATGATCCAAAGGTGATGAGACTGAACTGAAATGAGGAAATTGTACATCCTAATGTAATGTGTTACTGAGGAAATTATACATCCTAATGTAATGTGTTGCTGAGGCTCACAAACTACAGCATTCCTGGTGATTGTCCTGAAAAGTCCTGCTCGCTTCTCTGCCTACAGGAACCCAATCTCCTGACACTGGCATGGGAGTGTTTCAGCTAACAGAGTGGGGCAGGAGCTATAAATGATCAAGTACTTGCTGGAGCCGAGCAGATAAGCCACATTTTACCCTTCCAAGTGAGCAATTCTTCCCTGTGCTCTCAGGTCACAGACAGATACCCCAAAAGCCTTGAGAAAACTGATACTGAATTTTTTTTAAGGATTTAGTACCTTAAAGGAAGAAAAAAGACAAGCATGGGAGCTAACATACAAAGAAAGAACTTGTTATTACCAGGCTGTACATAACCATTCTTCCCTGCACTCGCTCATAATTTCATGCCTCTTGCTGCAAATTGCCCAAATGCCGATAACAGGAAAGGAAGGTGCAAGGCTGTGTTTAAGTGCTTGTAGCCAACATGTTCTTTATGAAGTTTGGACCTTTTTGAGCACTGGCCCATCAGACAGGATCTAGAGGTTTGAGATGTGGGTTCTGTGGTCCTGGCTGTAAATCAGACTTTTTCATGGTCTGATTGCATTCATTGATTAAATCAACTTGAGATAAGGGGTATCTGTCAGATTTTTCCTCAGGCATCCCAGCCTTCATGTGTTTTTTATGGTCTGCAAGCACTGTATCTTGCTAACTTTAGGTAAGTTAGTGGACACAGATCCATGTGAGTGTTTGTGTGCTCTTTAAAGTACCTTGTCTGCACATGGGTGTGTGTGGGTCTGTGCAGGGCCTGTGGGGCTCTGCAGCCTGCAGGAACTAAAGGAGCAGGGAACGTGTGGAAATTCCCTCTCTGGATGACAGGAAGAAACGCTGCTGGTGGAACTAAGGGTCATACAACCTCCACATTTAATGAGCAGCACAAGGTTCCAAACTATCAGATAAAAATCTGCCATAGGCTCCTAAAGATTAGGTCTGGATAACAGCCTCTGGATATTGTGGCTGTGAGCTGTTTGTTTGACCCTGGATTGACAAAGATGGTGATTATTTTTGGAGCATTTGCTGCAGATATGGGAGGTTAGCACAGGTCCCCAGAGAAAATGCTGCTTCTTGCAACAGACTGGAATTATGAACTTCACTTTGCTGAGCACAGCTGAACAATTCCCGTGGACACATGGACACAGGGATCTGCCAGCACTGCCCACTCCCCCTGCTTCAGGGTCCCTGGTCTGGGAGCAGGGGGCCGTCACTGCTGCCCCAAGGTCACACCTGTCACCCAGGGCTCACAGCTGGCACCCTGTGGCCACAGCAGCACCCAGTGGTGCCAGCTGGCAGGCGAAAGTCACAGCTGTCCCCACGCCCAAGGTGTCACCCAGGGGTTACAGCTGCACCCCGCGGTCACCGCTGCCCCCTAGCGCTCACATCTGGCACTCGCGCTCACAGCTGTCACTCGCGCTCACATCTGGCACCTCGCGCTCACAGCTGGCACTCGTGCTCACATCTGGCACTCGCAGTCACATCTGGCACCCCGCGCTCGCAGCAGCCCCAGCATCCGCCCCAGGTTAGCTCCCCACAGCTCAGCTCCCCAGATGCTTAATTCCAGTTGTGCGGTTACTCGGCTTGCGATTTTCTAAATAAAAGTTTGTATAAAGATATTTTATAGAGAGAAAAGTATGTGACGAGAAGCGCTTAGATTTGAAAATAAAAATGCTTTGTTAAATCTATTAATAGAGTAATTTAAATTGAATAAGCTGAGCCGTATGTTTGACATATTGGTGGTGATTCAAAATCACAAAAGGGAAAACATAAAGAAAAGCACCGAGAGGGTTCTAGAAACTATGTTCTGAGGGACTGAGTCCCCTAAATTATCAGCAGCTATTATAGGAACTGGTAAAAGCTGCTTTCCCCTAGACTGAAAGGGTTACAATGGTTAGGATGAAAAATTAAACCTTAAAAATGCAGATATTTTTTTTTAATTATATATATTATAA